CGGGGCTCAGCTCGGCCTGAGGGCGGCCCGGCAGCTCCTGCGCCTCGGGCGCCGCCTTCCCGGTTACCAAAGGGCAACGAACCGCGTTTATGTCAGCTGGAGCCCACAGAATCCCTGAGTCGTCTCGGCTGGGAAAGACCTTGAAGATCCTCCAGCCCAACCATGAACCTCACCCTGACCGGTCTCATGGCATCGTATGAATGATGTTGATGGTTTCCCTTTTTTTTTAAGGATTTTGAGATGTTATCCCAAGCAACTGAAAATGAAGAAGTCCCTCAAGAGGTCTTCAGCAGACAAACCTGTGGGAGAAGGAATTACCGTGTACGGGACCAGCTCTGATATTCATGAACCAACATACTAAATACATACACTTTACACTCAGAGCACTCCGAGTACTCAGAACTTACTATGACAGCGCTCACCTCCCTGTAGTAAGACAGCAATTTCTACTTCATCACCTTAAGCTGACTTGTAGAGTCCTTTTGCCTTTCCCAAAGCTCTTCTAACAGGTTACCAAATACATTTCAAAACTGGTCACTAACGGACTTCAAAATCGTTACTGATGAACTCCTCAATCTAAAACATTCTGCCAAGACCACGTAATATGGACGATATTTCTGCGGGAAACTCATTAAAAGACAATTACTTGGTAATTAGTTACTTTGTAGAGTGGGATTATTTTGTGTACTTAGTGCTACCTGATCTATGCAGATGGGCTTCACAGATCATTTTTTCTCTATGCCAAGTGTATGTAATCCGTTTCCAGGACCAGCGCAGATGCTGTTGTAATCTCTGTGAGAAAGGGAAAAAAAAAAAAAGGAACGTGGAGGAAATGCAGTGCCAGTAGGCAGATCTGGAATGGGCTGCATGGATAACGAGCAATAAGTAAATGCCTTTGTTTTCCCCTCACACCTTGCATCAGGTCCTCCTCAGAGACCTGATCACAGAACGCCTCAAGGCAGCGTTGAACACTTCCCCACTCTTGTATTTACATCACCAAAAAACCCTGGAAAAGCCAGACTGGCAAAAGAGGAGAACACTAAGTTAGGAAAACCTACCTAAGTCAGGAAAGTTTAATGGCTTGTTCCCAGGTAACGAGTTCTCCCAGTTTCTTCTTAAATAGGCTATTAAAATTCTCGTACCAGAATGGGGAAAACACAGGAGAAATGAGGTCTGATAAAGTTCTTAACGCAGGTTACTGATCGGTCTGAAATCTATTATGGTAATGGCTTTAAATTGATCCTTTGAAAAAAACTTCATTACGTTGTTCTAGTTAAGTCTTACTCCTTGACTTTCTCAAACTGTCGGCCTGAGCGCACAGGACTAGTTAATACCTTTTTCTCATGTTAAAAAAAAAAAAAAAAAAAAAAAAAAAAAAAAAAAAAAAAAAAAAGTAAACCAGGATACAGAACAGATCTTTATCTATAATAAATATATATATATATGTAGTCTCTTACCAGCAACTGAGCTGCTCAGGAGCCACTCCTTTACACGCCTACTTCTGACTGAACTGCACCTCACGTTACCCCGGTCTGGGCTCTGTGACATTAACCCCGCTCCGAATAAAAACCCTTCAGCAAGGGACTCGGAGGCACGACCTCCACCCTGCCCACCTCACATTTGTCCTGCAAGACTTTTCTGGTGTTTTGAAATACGTGCAACACGAGCCGAATGATATAATCAGACTTTACAGAATTTTCCATGACATACAGATCGAGACTATTAAATGAGGAATGAATAAAATCCCAGATTAATTGGTAGAAAAGTTTATTAGTACAGTGCACACCACCGTAACCTCAAACGGCAAGTTAAGTAAACGTTATTTGCACACATGCGGTTTGGTTTTTAAACAGATTTTTAAAAACTCTCTGCGTTGAGCTTTACATTAATGAATAACAATTTGGGATTTTAAGACTTTTTATAAACAACCAGGGATTTTTCTGGGTTATACAAGTGAAGTGAAAATACAGGGAAAATAAATGGGATTCGATGTAATTTAGAAATGGCATCAAACCCCCTTTTTCCTCTTCCATTATGGACCATTTAAGACACTAAAGAAGGGCAAGTAAGTGTGAGACAAGCAATAAAAAACATTAAAAGACATCAGTGTAACTGAGGGTCCTCGGCTGTGCTTTAGTTGTTCGGACAGAACAAAGTTGATCCTGTAAATGGCAAGCAAGCAGCCTTCTCGCAAACCATTCTTTAAAGAATTAAGTTCTTAAGTTTCCTTCCGAGGAGGTGAATTGATGTTGGATCTGGGCAAATCCTCCAGCAGTTTAGGGGCTGTGAATGCATCTTCTGTAGCTCTACAGAAGATCTCCTAGGTGGTGCAAAACTTCACGTAAAGCTTAAAACAATGTACCTGCTGCATCTAGCAGGCAAATAGAGAAGGTAAAACCGAATAGTTTTAGTTTAAAAAATTTATCAAACGCCGCCCTCTGGCAACACAAATATTAAATAACGTGGTTCCCCTGCTGTGAGCAGCATAAAGCTAATTAATTACACATTGGAAAAAAAAAAAAAAAAGCAACTGAGAGTGTTTGGCAGGCTCTACAGGCATGGGGTGAAGCTGATCTGCCCGTCCGCTTTCGGTTTGTAACTGCCTTGGGGGAAGAGTGAGAAAGCAGGTTAATTAGGAAGTGTATTCAGCGCTCTCCTAAAACCCCCAAAACCTCCGAGGGCTCTTCTGGGTAGGTGCATCCTAAGTAATTAAAACCCATTAGTTGCAATAGGCGAGAGAGATCCAACCCAACAGGCTCCACATGCAGCAGCAGCGATGTCTTGTGTTCACTTTTGGACGGATCCTGTACTTTTAGGGCAGTATTTTCATTTGAAAACCCCACTTCTCTCAACTTAGGGGACCGCTTCAACCCGTCAACAAAACATGCAAACAAGTCAATGGTGTGAGAAAGCATTCTAAAACAATTTTATTGGAATGATACAGGAATGGTTAATATACAGGTTAAATCCTCAATGCCTGCCCTCTACATAGGAAGAAAAAAAAATAAAGAAATGAACAAATTCAGTTCTTGCTCCCATCGTTAATCTAATACAGGTAAGGGAAACAGAAAACCAGCATATAGGCAACAGATTCCTAGCACTCCTAAAGCCAAGCAAGATACCTGCATCAAAATGAATGGAAGTTTGACACGCAGTCCCACAACAAAGAGATATTTTCGGTATTTTTCAGTCTGTGTCGGTGCCTTGTTCCCCGGACAAAGAAATAATTCAGTCTGTCTCGACAGAGCTTTCAGAGGAATGCTGATACAGTTTGAACGCTACCATATGGCAAGGGCGGGGGACCAGAGGAGGGAAGTGACTTTGCTTTCTTAAACTTGGCAATTTTCTTGACCGTCAGAAACAGAGACTGACCTCGTTTCAGAATGTTTTGGGTCGCTGAACTGACAGAATTTGGCAGCGGCTTCCAATTACAGCTTCTCCAAAATAATGACTGTAATTCACAAAACTTACACCATACTTTCCCAGGAAACGCAGCAAATTGGTGTGAGTATAGTGACTCGTGTGTCAAATTCCGCTTTCTTCGCAAAACTTCACTTAGGACTCTTACATACGTTCTCAAAACTTTGACCGTTAGTTTAGACACTGAGAGAGGCTGTGCCAATATTAAGAAAGGAAAATCACCTCGGTTCAGAAAGATGAAATCACAGCGGACAACACGAATCAGACACTGGATGTAACTTAACTTCCATCCCCGAAAGATCTTAAAATAAATTTCACAAGATTTCAATATTTGCTGATAAAGCCTGTTAATGAAAAAGCACAAATGCATGTGTTAATCTTGAAGGTAAGGCAACATTAATCTATCCCTATGCCTTTTGATACTCTGCTTGCTTTCATAAGCACAAGCTTCAGACTGACTCCCAGGCTCCCAAATCGAAAAAAGATAAAACACGAACTGAATGTCGTTTTACCTAACTTGGCTCCGCGCTAGATCCTGCTCACTCAGACGTCTGCGGAATCACGAGCTGTCTAGAGGCAGAGCTGCTCCAACCAAAGCAACTACCTGCACTTCCCTTTTACCAGATGTTGACAAAATCATCGCTTGCAGTGCACGGAAGCACTACAAAAGCCCCAAAGAAATGTTGGTGAGGGAAGTATTTAATTACAGCCCTTCAGAACGTCTTTGCAAACGTGGAGTTTTCACTTTTATCCTGCTCCTAATTTCAGACTCCCAAACTATGAACTGTAATCCGTGTCAGAAGGGATCTGAAAAGCACAGCACACGTTTTACAGCATCGGTGTGAAAGGACCGCACGGCGATGGTACGCTGCAGCCTTCTGCAGATCTGCACCACCTGCTTCTCCGTCTTCATAAAACAAAAAAATCAAAATGTGTGTGTGCACAGCTATTAGAATGATCCTCTAACCAGAGCAAGGACTAATTATCTTGCTGTCTTTTGATACTTCTGGGGAGTAAGTACATTATGTGGTGCAAAATGCATTTTAAATTACCCTCACACTTTTTAAACCTGTTTCTCATCCTTCAGGGCACTTGTAATTGCTTGTATTTTTGCAGAATATGGCCAAGAAATACAGATTATCTCATGAGCACTGGGAGAACAGACAGGTTAATATTGCACATGGTAAATTCACCGATACAAGACACTTTAATAGATTTGCAATTCCTGTAATAGCTTCATGATATGGCAATAACAATGGAAAAAAAGTTTTTAAACCTTAAAAAAAAAAAAAAAAAAAGTCTTGGTTAATTACAATAGTTCTTGCTATTCAAACATTTATTTCCTTGTTTGAAAAAATACTCTATGAATCTAATGACTACATGAACATGCAATAAGATGCCTAACGCTAGAAGCAGTGTGAACTGGTAGTTTTGTAGAGAAATAGATCAAAGGCTTTCGCCCTTACATAGGTAAGGAAATGCCATTTCTGGCCGTTTTGGCTTATTGGCAACATCGCCTGGGAATTAGCACATACTTCACTGAGGTGCCCTGAATCCTGCCCACAGACATGCAATGGAGTCACGCTTAGGCAGCTGTGTGCTGAACCTGCCAACGGAAAGGCTGGCCATTACCCAAATCCCTTTTTCTTTGTCAAAAGAGCCCACACGCATCACTTAAATGAGAAATACATGGCATTTTGTTTTTTTGTTTGTGGTTTTTTTTTTTTCATCTGTACAGTGTGTTACAATACAAATCTTAAATAACCATTCTACAAAAGAACAAACACAACTTTCAAAAGTGACTACAATGGCTATACTACACGATACCACCTACAATTTCATCCAAAACCAGAAAAGACACTGAAAAATTACTGTGTTAATTCAGTAACATTTTTTTTTTTTTGAGGCAACTCAGGCACTAAAGTTGGTATTTGACAAGGTTTTAGATGCTGTTGCTTGTTTTCCATATTTTAAATAGTTGGATCTCTAGGTATAACCCCATCTGTATTATTAGTATTAAAATAGTTTCTTGAAGTTTACACAAAATGAACAAATTGCCAAGACAGTTTAAACTCCATGAAAATCGTTCATGTCTAATTGCTTCAGTTTCCTATGCTTCCAACTTTGTAATAATACACCCCGTGCTCTCTACCTTTAAGTTCACATTTTCATCTTGTGTTCAGATTTGTATTACGTACGGTGAATGCTGCAAGCACCAATCAAATGTTAGAAATCACATCTATATTTCTTGAAGCAGAGACAATTGTACTATTTTATAAAAAGCTGTGGAAATTCCCTTTACAGAACATTTTAAGGCAGTTGAAATTCATGCTTGCTGCTTTGCCAGTGCTTCGGCTTCCTGAAATAGCAGAAGAGAATTACATGTATTAGTGCTTAATGAAAGGTGACGACGTGCACATACCTGTGGTAGCATATGACATGACAAAAACTGCAGCAGTACCTGGTTACCAGGTGAGCAGCACTGAACCCAACTCAAGGAAATTGAGTCCCTGCTGCCTACGATGACGTTATAAAACAAGTCCTATGAGGTGCTGGCTTCAACTCCAGCTCTGAGCTAGCTCAAGTAAGACCTGCAGGAATATTCCAACCCGTGCCCATGGTGAATTTTGACCTTAACAGTTTAAACCAAAAGATCAGATATAACAAGTTATCCCTCATTTTATATTAGGACAAAAGAACTATTTAGAGATGGAAGATTGTTTGAAGAACTCTGGTTAAATGAAAAAGGTATTCTTAATAAGTCTCCACATCAAAAAAAGAAAAAAAGGGGAGGGAAAAAAATGAGGTTTTATCCGAGACACAATTTACTTCCTGAGCTAAACCCTACCAAATGACCCGCAATTAGCTTTTGCCTTCCAGCAGGGTGATGGGAGCAGCCTGCAAGCCCTCGGTGGGACACAGCCGGGAGCTGCTGCAGCCCCGGACCCCTGGCGAGCTCCGTCGTGCCTGGCAGCGGCTCTGTCCCGTCGCGGCCCCGCTGAGGAACCCCGGGTCCCTGCTGTGGGCAGCGAGGCAGCTGCTCCCCGGCCTGCCACCACCCTCTGCACCCAGGGCTCCCAACACACGCCTCCGGGGGGACCTTCAGCTCCACAAAAACATTCCTGTGAAGCTCCTGAGCTGAAGAAACACCTAAAGGGGTTTAGCAGACGTACCAGCTGACAATCCTCAGTCTAATTCAGGAGGAGTGTTAAAAACCTAAAGCTTGCATTTTTCAGTCTTCTTTCAGCCTTTGTACGCTGGTCGCAAATGGGAACAGAATGACAACAGAAGAAACGCAAAAGGAATTTTTTTCTGAAGATTAATATAATTAATCTGTTAGCAGCAACGTGGCCTACGAGACAATGAACAGTCACAGAGTGGTTCGTTTTAAAAGCAAAAAGTTCATCTGCTAAAGTTTTATGTAATGGAATTGTTTGCTTTTATGAGTGCCTAGAAATACTGACAATAACAGACTCAACAGTATCGTTGTTAACATGAGCCAGTATGCTAAACAAATAAAAAACAAGAGGAGGAAGGACTAAGAAGGGAATTTCCAAGAAGCCTGTTAAGCCTCCTAAGAGAGGGGAGGCGGTGGGTGACCCCAGCCTGCGCAGCAGGAAGTACCACGCGTATCTCCCTTATCTCAGACGCGGTGGCTCACTCTGGTTTTCCTGGCTCCCTGCCCAAGTGCCTCTCATCACGCTGCCTTTTAAGTCAGGGCCGTGGGAAGAGCTTTGCTGGGACGGCTGGCTCAGGCCCGGACCATGCTCTGCTCCTCCGGCCGCACGCCGCGGGTCAAAGAGCGGAGCCGGGACGTCGCCGCGCACCCATGCTGCTCGTGCCAGGGCATCCTCTCTGTTCACGGCAGAACAGGCAGGTGAGGAATGAAGGAAAGATTAAAAAGAACTAGAAAGCCTGGAAAAAAACAAGGATGTTTGATATTCTCTAGAAAACAAGCGGTTCTTTGAACAGCAACAAAGAGGAGACGGTTCCCTTGGCCGTGTAGTAATTCCATTAACCAGTCATAGGCACTACAGAAGTGACATCTAGTTCGGGGTTTTTTTTTGGTTTGTTTCCCCTCTCCCCGCCCCGAAAATGGAAGACAAAGTACTTATCTTCCAAACAGGCAGTGGTAACCTGGAGAGGATTCTTGGCTTTCCCTCACCCCCAGGAAAGCGGGCACAACTAACTCAGAGAATACGTTAACCTGTTTGTCTGTAAGGTCAAACTCCACTGCCTTGGGCGCAGTCCTGCAAGTTACCCGGGAAAGGCTCCGCTTTTCAGATCTGCCTCTATCCCTCTTTCCTACTGTCCCTTACTTCTCCCTCGAGACCCCTCACGGAGCATGGTCCCAGTCCTTAAATAATTAGTCACAGCCTTTAACTCCCTAAATCCTCTCCTTTTAAAACCTACCTGTATTCTGAAGGAGGGATATTTAAGCTATATTAATGCCAACCTCTCCCGGAGTTTGTAGGTCCAACTACACTCAGTGCCCAAAGCACAAACCAAAGCTCCAGGGCTCAGTAAAGAGTTACTTGCCTTTCCCATGCTCAGTTCTGAGCCCGTCTCTGTTAGCACTAATATTGGCCCTTTGTGTTCAGCGTCAAATTAACTTTCCAAATCTCTCATAATGCCATTTAACAGAGGTTTGCTGTCAAGGCCCTCTCTTGCAATCACACACAGGTTGATCCCAGGCTCCTTCCATTTCATGTAGCAACATGCGCAGACGCAATGTCATTAACTACAATATTCCATCCAAGATGCACGCAGCTATGCTGTAAATGCCAATTTCAGCAACTACCAATGAGTTTCTCCTCCTCAGCAGCAGGCAATCAGCTTGATTTGACATCACGTAATTGTGGGATGGATACCAAAAGTCAGACCGACAGCAGAATGCACTGGGTACAAGGTCAGTTATGCAAAGGTTATCTTTGCATAAGCTCAAACGCACCTCCCCAAGTGGTGAAATGAAAATTCAGCAGAGCACAGCTGCGTTGTATCTCTCCTTTTTAGAACTCACTTTCTCCTTAGGTGAGGACAGAATCAGAGCATCCCTTAGGACAGAATCAGAGCATCCCTTAGGACAGAATCAGAGCAACTAATAGCCCCGCAGACTGCTTCTGCAATCTGGCAGGTTAAGTAAGCAGCGATGTTCATAAACGTTATGGAGACGGATGACCTGATTCGTCGTGGCAGCAACTGCTCTCCAGTACCACAGAGCTCGGGCACGAGGAGAAACACACGGGCTTTCCTGCCTCCCCTGCTCTCAGGGCTGCTTTCTCACTCCTCGGCTCCATCCTGCACACTCTGTTGTGCAACGCTGTGCAGATGTTCCAAGAAACTTAAATAAGATTTACATGACTATCACAGCATGTGCAGCTGGCCTTCTGGCGCCAGCCACGCGTGATGCTGGGGCACGTAGCACAGGTTTTGCTCTCTGCAGTTCTGTATGAGGTAGATTTTTTCCTCACTGCACCATTCACATGTGTGAATGTTACTCTAGCTACTGCTAGAAATCGTTTGGTTCCCAAAACTGCTTCAGTCTGACCCACAATTCGTAATGCTTAATACTGGTGGGTCATCATCCACCTTTAAAATCAGGTCTCAGTGGCGTGCACAGCGTGACCTTCAACTCCTGCACGAACAAAGTTGAAAGGAAACGGCGTGTTTATCCACTGGAACAAGAAAGCTGGAAGTGACCCGGAGGATCCTGCTGCTGTCAAGTGAAACGTATAATGCAGGCTTGTCCTATCCTATCAAAATCAAAGGAGAATTCCAGCCCATTGCATCTACCAAGCAGCAGCCCAGTTTGTAACTGGCAAAGGAAAACAAGGCAAAGGATCACAAGCTGGAGGAAAAAATTACTCTGAAGCAAGACATTATTTCAAAAAGAGCAACTCTGGTTTCCAAGTATTTTCTAGTATAAAAATCTCATAAAACTTCATGTGAATTCAGTTTTTTCACTGAACTGAAATGACAATTTTTTTCACCTAGATTTCTTGTGAGTTCTTCAGTGCAAATATTAGCCAGTCTTTCACTTGTTCCCAGAGTGTACAATAAAAAAAAAAAAATTTTCAATGGTAAGAACTTGACCCAGCTCTTCTTTCCAAAGCAACAAAAGCTCTTCCATTAACTTAAAAAAAAGCAGAGTGGCTCTGCAGTGAGGATACCAAAGGAGCTCTGTACCAAATGCTGGGGTTTTCTGGTAGGAGTGGGAAGAAGATGCCTCCAGGGAACACAACATCCTCCAAATAAACCAGCACACAACACCAGCGTGTTGCTGTGATGTTGAAGCCTGAAAGTTAGTCTCTGGATACTGAATATCAGACCAGCAGGTAGACTGAATGGGGCAACTATAAAACATGGAATATCCTACTATGAGGAGAGAAGAACAAGGGTGTAAAATACAGGTGGGGTTTACTGCGAGAAATGTCCACACCTACCTTTGAACCAGGCGGTGCAGTCAAGCCTAAAAACGCATATACTGCATTGTTCTCTCGTGCCTCAAAGAAAGCTTCATAGTCCTTCACCGCGGGAGTCAGGGAGCGGGATGGAAACAGAAGACAGAAATACGAACCGTCAGAAATAATCGCAGCTCCATTTGGTGTGTTACCCAACCTGCACCGAGCAAACCGCTTCCTGTGGCCCAACGCAAAACGCAGAGTGTCACCTCAGAGATTTAGCATTAGCACTAAAACCATCTAAACTCTACTGTCCAAGAAGTGACGAGCTGGGAGCGTCACTCTCTGTAGCAACAAGGTGCTGCTGTGAGGTGCTTCTGCCTTTCCCAGAGGACAGTCTCCACAGCAAGGGGGCTGTGGTCACTAGTTCTGTCATCAGAACCGCATCCCCAGAGCTCATTGCTAATTACTGATTAGGAATGGCAGCTGGCCAATTATGGACACTAACTCTTAAACTTGTTAAATTGAAACCTGTAAAGTGAGAGTCCACCTTTTCCCATCATGTTTCCCATTAATGATTAGTCTACGCAACTGGAGGGAACTGGGTGGCACTGCCACTGTACTCGCAGTGCACTGCAGCTGCTCTAAACGTGCACGCAGCCACTTCCCAGGGAAATTAAGGTAAAAGCAATGAAATAACAAAATAAATACCAACGCTTCCTTCTCTGCCTTTTTTTTTTTTCCATTTGAGGCAGACTGCAGCGCTGTATGGAGTACAAACACAGCTTAGCTGTCTGCTGAGTGAGGGAAGAGCAAGCGAAAAGCCCCCAGTGTGGCTCAGCAGCAGCAGTTGCCAAACACTGACCAAACGAAGCCAGAAGGTTTGTGCAAGTCCACTGTTGTCCGAGTTACTGCATACTTCCCTCCCTCCAATTTCCAAACTCAGCACATATCTGCCCTATGACTTCCCTTCTCGGCCCTTTCCCACCGAAGCAGCAGTACCAGCCTCCTCCAGCTTTCCTGGGGGGTGTTTTGATGCAGGAGTCACAGCTGAGAAAGCCAAGGCAAGGCAGCAGCTAAGAGCAGGCTCAGTCTCGGGCTGAAGTCAGGAGGAGAGCTGCCATTAAGGGCACGCTGCTTCACATGCCTGTCTGTCTGGTAGGCAAAAGCCTAAGAAACGGCAAGTGTTGTTTGAAAGTAGCAGCGTGTTCAGAGCAGGGGCAGCTCTAAGAAGAGGCTGCTGCAGTTGGAATCGCAGCAAGTGCAGGGAATGGAGGATTCGAGCTGCCTAGAGGTCACGGATGTCACGTTATTTTCGATTTGTACACACTGCATTCGGCTGCTATTATAGTTTGATAAAAATGTGCATGATTATGTTAAATCCTCCCCAAAGCCCTTCTGTTGACACTACTGGAGCGGCTTGATGACAAAGGGGTTGTTTATCTTGCCAGTGCATAGTCCGGCAGTTTGCTGCGCAGCGTCTCCCAGGAAAGGAATGCCTGTGACTAAGGAGCAGGGCTCAGGACAACTTGCACAGCATCTACAGTTACAGCCTTTCTGCTGTGCACGGGCCAAGAAAAGTCAATTTGCTCCTTTCTCTGCCTGTTATGCTTCACCAGATCGAACAGAGAAGTTCATGCTTGAGATGGATCAGATAAAGACATAAAGAGGTTCAAGTGTGCGGGCACAGAATTAACTTTTACCTTCCTGAAAGCCAAACTGTGGTAACTTAAATCCAGCTACAAACCGACCAAACTTCGAGTGTTCTAAGTGGCACCAACCAAAATTCTGGGGATGAAATAAACTCACAGCAAGAACTGTTCTGAAGCATCTATAGTCCTTTGCCCAAAATTCTTGTACTGAGAACTGTCGTGGTTTGCAGCTGGGGATACATCAGATGCATCTCGGATAAGCAAGCACCCAGATCTAGGTGCACCCAGCAACTTCTGTGCCTGTCCCACCCCACTGCAGAGCTGCAGCAATGCACCACAAATCTGGCAACATGTCACTGATAAAGGACAACTGTCAGGGGATCTGCTTGCATCCCTAAAGCTCTGGTACACCGAGGGAGAAAGGTGATACTAGTGCATCTGAACTTCCTACTGGTACAGAAATATTTGCCTCTTTTTGTTTGTATGTTTGTTTGTTTTTAAAGAGAAAGAACCGAACACAGTTTTCAGCTCTTTGTAACTAGCCCCTTCTCAGCTTTCAGCTGCAGACAACTATCGATCAATTAAATTTGTCTCTTCAAAGCAACCTTCTTCCACATCACAACCACAGTCAGTAAAATTCTGAGAGCCAAGTGGTGGATTGGCTCACTGTGGATATTGTTTCAGGTTCTGCTTTTATTACAAGCAAGAAAAATTCCTGGCACCTTGGGAATAATTTCTTTCAGTAGCCATAGAATCACCTCGCAAAGGTCCAGAACTGGCAGGTTCTGACTTACAGACTTTGCAGGTCAGAATGAAGACTGCAAAATGACTTAGAAACCAACACACAGCACCAGAGGAATGCATACTGCGAGCTCTCTTCAGAAGATACTAAGTTTTAAAAATAAAATTAACAGTTAATCTAGTAATCATTCAAGCATGACCTGCTGAGCAGAAGTGCTGCAGGGCAACTTACTTTTGATCAAGCATTAAAATAATGACAAGTAGGAATTGTATTTGCAACGTGAGTTTTAATCTGTTCAAGGCACTGGAATGAGTGAACTGCAACAGCCTTTATTTTGCAAGCAGTACAGAAAAACTGATCCCAAGGAGGATCAGAAAACTGATCTATGATCATGGCAGACATCGCTGCATATGAGCACTTCTCTTGGAGGATGAACAGACCACGGAGTGATCGGCAAACCCCACAGAGACAGAACAGCTACAGAACATAAAGTTGGTGCAAGTGTGCCAGATTTCTGTGCAGTGTTAGTTCACAATCACGGTGAACACGAGAATTAAAAAAATCTCTGTGATCTTTCAGAGCTGTAAGAGGGGAAAAACCCACAAAGAAAAAAAAAATATATATATATATACAACGCTGCAAGGTGGTGGTAGGCTCATTCCAGTAAGTAGCACAATGATCTGAGAGCCAGGAGGTCCAAATTTTAAACTCTCCTCTACATCAGAACTGGAATATTCAGGGATGAATTATTATAAAGAGCCCAGAGGAGGGGTAAATGTCTAACACCTTCCACGCCCTTCACGGTTTGCACGCTTGAACCTACAGCTGGCCAAGTCCTTTCTGGCTGATCACAAGAGCAAAGTAGAGACTATGGCAGTGAGTAAGAGGCCTGGGAAGAGAAGAGATGGAGCGCTGGAGCCTTTCCTTACCCCAAGGTACCGGCTGTCGTTGAAGAGCCGGGGCGGCAGAGGGTTCCCGCTCGCTGGCCGGCTGTCCTCAGGGACGTTCTCGCGCATCCATTTCCGATTCTCCTCGTTGGCGGCGATATCTTTCTCCTCAAATTCAATTTTGTTGGCTTCCAAGAAACCTAACACATCTTGTTGCTGTTTTTTAATCTGTCGCAAAAGAAGGAGGGGGGGAGAGAAAGCAAAACAAAATCAGTCAAACCATTTTTTTTCTGATGCTGATTATGCAAATCCAGGGTTCAATGCAGAAACAAGGGGCTGAAATGGAAGCAGTAAGAAAATTCTTAGAATAAAAAAGTACATTCTAAAGATTCAACAGGCTGAAGTCGAAATACACTGTCCCTATACACATGTGAGTGTTGTGAATCTCAAGGGTCTCCAACCAAAAGCAAAGGTGTGAGCATCCCCTTGCAGAGGCTGCACTGGCCAGGCTTTACAGTTAACTCAGGGGAATGTTCTTTTCTCAGGTGCAGTGAAGTTTGCTGGGGGGGCATCTGAGGTACAACCCCTTCCCTTTGTGTCCCTGGAAGCAGAGGCTGAACCAGCCCTTCTCAGAGTCCAGGTTTTTGTCCTCCTCGGGTAGGGGACTTCTGGCAGATCTCATGGAGTCATCAGTAACAGTAAGATCTCAAAGTAGCTTTGGCTCTTGGTTCTTTGGACAAAATAAAAACCAACCAACCCTCTTCAGCACTGGCAGGATTGGTCTCTGGAGAGCTGTGACCACACATCTCCCACCTTGCTTGTCTCGAGGTGTCAGGGGGCTGACTGCGACCCCACACCCGATGCAGCCCCTCCTCTGCACACTCACACAGCACCCAAGTGAAAAGCAGGATCTGTGTGGCAAGGACTGGGGTGGCTTTTCACAGGAAAGGTGGTTTTTATTACTGTCATATATGAATTACCGACTTCCTGATACAGAGATGTTCTGTTTATGCTCTGTCCTTCCTCTGCATGACTTCACCACCATAAAGGAAATTATAACCATGCGCATCCTGACAAACAATAAAAAAATGGGATTTAATGGGAAATCTGTTCTCTTCAAATTATTCCCTTCGCTACAAAACCAATCCAAGGCCTGGCTTTAACCTAATTAGCTCAGTGTACAACAAAAGCAGCTTTTCATACAGATGTTATGGCTGCTTCCAATTCAGGTCAGCCACCAGCTTCCCGAGCAGCCTCTCCATATACGGCCAGGGGAGAAGAAGCAGCTCCGGGCTCGCAGCGCCGGGGTCAGGGCACAGCCAGCTGAGAGCCAAATATGGAGCCTGTGCCCCGGCTCACCCAGCCCACGGCCCTGGGGAGCAGAGCTGGGCCGGGACCGGGAGGGAGGGAGGGAGGGAGGGAGGCTGCGAGGTTTTTGTGGAGGAAAAGGGCTGCCCTGGAAGGCTGAGGTTTGGGAGCGCACAGAGCGGCGGCGTTACTGTAAATCTCTAAAGAACCCTCTGAGACTTAGTGTGAAGTTTGAGAAGGCAGGCAGCCTGTATCGCAGCACTGGATGCACGGGGGATCATTCCACCAAAGGTGCACGCTGAAAGACAAGGGCACACTGATTATATACAATAAAAGAAATGAATATTCATGGAGGAGAAGGGGTAGACTGGCTCTGAGGAAGGATTTCTGTGCAGAAGGGGCTGTTGGGCGTTGGAATGAGCTGCCCAGGGCAGGGGGGGAGTCCCCGGGATCCCTGGAGGGGTTGAAGAGTCGGGCTGAGCCAGCGCTGAGGGATCTGGGGGAGTTGGGAACCGTCAGGGTGAGGGTCATGGTGGGGCTGGAGGAGCTGCAGGGGCTTTTCCAACCCAGATGGTTCTGGGATTCTGTGAATTTCTGACAAGCACACACCGATTTCCAGAAGATCTAATGCATACGTTAATACATTGCACAAGTGTACTAAAATTCGGGGAAGGGTCTCTGAGGGGCTTCCACGGGGGTTTTTGGTGGTCTGTGGTGGTCCCTAGTGGTTGCTGAAGAGGTGCCTCTTAGCGTGATTTCCATAAACTCTGAGGGTTTTTTTGTATAAGGCCTCCTCTTGGCTTATTGCTCTGGTTGTAAAGTTTCTCAGCTTTCTTATCTTTGGCTCCCACAGGTGTCTGTTGGTTTCTCTGCCCTTCCTGGGATGTATCCATCACAGTTGCAAAAATTATGTCCTCGGGTGCATTCTTGTCTGAGGTCCCTTACAGCAATTAGCACCAACTGCTTGGAGGCATCAGCATCTCCAAAGAGGAGTCGGCTGTGCCCTGGCAGCCTTTAAGCAACCACTGCCTCGTTCTTTGGCAGCTCCTTTGGAGCCATCACTGCTGCCTGCCTGGCAAGGAACCAGTCCAGGTTAAACTAGATCGTGGGTGGGGTGGTTTTTTTTAAAAAAATGGATAGATAGATCTCTGCATCCAGCTCCGCGTAGTGCAAAGGGACCAACGCTGCTCTCCTGACAGAGGAAAAATGTGATCCCAGCTCCAGCAGGGAAGGCGCCTGCCCAGGACTGCAAGAGCCAGCGAAATTCCTCCTAACACCTCAGCAGAGGAGCTGCCAAACTCAATTAGTGACTGCCTTTGCACCCTTAAAGAGAAGAATATTGCTGGGCATTAGCTAATGTCCGTCATGGCTAAAAATAAATAAAAACGGACAAGTTCATATCACCCCGAGGAAATAATTCATGTTATAGTCGGTATAGAAAAACATTTCTCAGCAGACTCAAATCTACTGAGAGATTTCTTCGCTTGCCTTTAATAAGAGGGGTCACAGCAGGAGGGAGCAGTACAGCTCAGAGGGGGGAAAAAAAAAAAAAAAAAAAGCGAGCACTTCCTTCATGAACTATTGTCTAGGACTAAAATAAGGGCAAGGTCTTTGTCATTGTGAACTCCTCTGCCAGTGGGCAGCACCTAGGGCAACATACTGACCTGGGAATAAACAGAAATTTTTTTTCCCCCAACTAGTTATGTTTTAATTAATCGTTTCCCACCACTTGTAAATTACAGATCCAGATCGTTTTCATTAGTCTCAAGTCCTTAATTTTGTCCAAAATCTGCTGCTTTGCGAGAACACACTTGAGAAGTCCCAGAATTGAAGAAAAAAAAAAAGAAAACCAAGTTTTTACCCCATCTACTATTAAAGTATACCCTCTGCCATGTAAAAGAAGAGCTCTAAGTTTGACAATAATTAGGATTTTGATCTCCTGAGAAGTCTCTTTATTTTTTAAATAATTTTCACTATGAGATTGCCTCCTGGCCATACACACCTCCTCACATTCCCCACGGCATCTCAGCTCGGTCTCAGTGCAGCCCTTCGCAGGCAGACCCCGCAGTCCTTCCGTGCAGCACCCAGTCTGACAGCGCCGGACTAGCTCAGCCATTACGATGCTTCTTCAACATGAAGAAAACGCCTCTGGCTACCCTGTGTTACCATTATTTCATATGATGAACCAAAATAGTTTTCCTCTTAGATATACATATGCAAACCATCTCTCTGTGCACTGCCACCTTGCTTGTCTTGCTCTATTTTTGCTCATTCTCCCAACTCTGTGGAGCAAGGACAATCTCCAGGCTGTTTTTTCGGCTACAGGTAGCACAGTCAGATCCCAAGTTCACAACTGCAGCTCCAAAGGGCCATCACAGCAGATGACCCCTCTCTGCTTGTTTATGAAGAGCTAGCGAAGCTGGAAATATATTTTTTCTGCTCGAAAAGGCACCGTGTGGAAGGCAAGCACAGTATTTTGGTGTCTGTGCCTCTCAGTCTGTGGTCAAAGGAGGTAATTCTCTAAAGAACTGCAAAGAAAATTAAGGGCCTGGTGTTGATACATGAGTAATATTAGATTGAAACCCTGGCCAAAGAAAAAAAAGCAAGTTGGAAGATTAAGAGGCAATGTCTTCCTCCCAGCTTCTCAAGACAAGTCTTCCAACCACGATGACAAGCACTTACATGAGAACATTAAATACTCCAGAGAAACATGGCACCAACCACTGGGCAGAGCAGACACCGAGCTGCCAGATCGCATTATTTTATGGGACTTTATATAGAAAATTTCAATTAATCTCAGGCACTGGAATACCGCTGGGAGGGAAGTACCTAAAATAGAGCAAGAGATGTCTGCTGCTGCTTCAGGGTATTTTGTCTTACTCAAAAGGGCATACACTTTCCTCAGGACGAGAGCCTGGAAGATGGTTCCCGCTGCCCATGTTTGGGAAGGAGCCTTTCTTCAGGATGTGCCTGTCAACACGCAGCACTCGCTTCCCAAAACAACCCTCTCCCGGTTGCCTAACCGGGCATGGCCACCAGCCAGCGCCTTTCCAGATCCCGCACCTCGTCCTACGCAAACAACTGTCATGTCTGAAGCTATTTTGGCCTGCTGGCTGCAGCCAACCGCAGTTTGCAAACACGAAAATCCTTGTTTATACTGAGAGTTCCTGACAGACGTTGCAGGGCAAGAGAGAGGCAGAGCAGGAGCTGGGGGCCCAGGGCCACGGCGCTGAGGCAGGATCCTGAGCCTGGGGGACCAGCACTGGAGGGGTGGGAGGGCTCATGGACAGACACAGGAGCACACAAACAGACATCACGGACAGGGATGGGCAGACAACTGCAAGGAAGGGAAGAGGCTGCAGGCAGGAGCAGATCAGCAAAGTGGATGGATGGAGATGGGGCAAAATCCCAGGGGTGAGATGGAGAAAGAAAGACAGATGGAGGAGGGTCGGGGTGGGGAGCAGCAGACGTCGGTACTGCAAGAGGAAGGGCTGCATCATGCTGGAGCTCACCGCTGCCCTACTTGGGAAATAACCTCCACATGGAAGCCAGTTTTGTCCAAAAATGCCTTTATTACCAAACCCCAGAAAAAACACACCTGGTTCCTCAGCCTGAACACACTGGTTCACGTTTCTCAGGGCACTCTTGGGGGAAAACCATCTAAAATTCCTCAGGTGAGCAGAAACATTATACTTTTTGCTGATGTTCCTAAGATAACATTGAAGGAAACGTAACCAAAATGAATCTATTTTCACTTTGTTTTGGTTTTCAATGTCTGTTCCAGAGACAGAAATAGCTTTATGGCAAGTTACTGGCAGCGAAGCAAAGTCTCACCACCGAGCTGTAATCTTCTGCATACAGAATTCGCACAAGCAACATTAGAAGCTGATGCTTCCAGCAGACTTTTTAAAGATTTTTTTCTTTTTTAAGAAATCCTTGTGGATATCCTTGATATCCTTTAAGATTATCTTCCTTTCCAGTTACAAGCCAATCATGAAATATTAAGCTTTCAACAGAGGATATGCACAGAAAAACATTCTGAAAATGAGTACTTCAGCATTATGAACAAATGCTGTCCCTCACTGAATATATATCGGAGGTTAAATTTATTGTTCTAACTCACATCAGTGGATGACATCAGTAACGCAAGAGAAACCACGTCAAAGCTGCCAAGAGGAGCGACAGGTGATGTTTTCCAACAAACTGCAGTCCATCAAAAATGGAGCTTTAACCCCAAAGCGGGCCAAGAACTTTCCAGAAAATGCTGCAACATTTCAGACTCGGTATGTTTTTTCTCCTCCGAATCTTTACTCATTGAAGGAGAAAAAAAAAATAAAGCAAAAAAAGAACTCAACTAAAAGATAATAAATAGAAAGGAGGCAGAGGTGATGCTGCAGGACCTTGGTCCAGCGAGCGGCAATACTCCATCCCCAGCTCCAGCCAGGTCTGTCCAACAGCCAGCCTCTCTTAGCACTGCCCCGCTGCAAGGAAACAGTTAAATACTTTATTTAAATGAACTTCAAAGAAGTTTCTATCTTATTTGGTATACACAGGCATACACATTCAAAAGACTAGCCCAGTTTGCACTGCTGGCGAAGAGGGTTTTCTGGGGTTTTTTTTAAGTCTTGTTATTTTCTTCAGACTATAAATAAATTCCTTGTTGGACAATAGACATGTTTTGGAAATCTATTTATGGACCACTGAAACCCTAAGTAAGTTTACAGTTTGAGTGCTGCTGTTTTGATCACATAACAAACTTTCCCAAGCCGAGGAAGTGGCTACAGCTCTGCTGTTCTGGCACTCAGCGTTCTCTGCTGTTTCTGTGGGTCCTGTGTCCTCACCTCCATGAAGGGAAAAAACACAGGTTTGGTTGGTTATTTTTCCCCCAAAATGCGATTAAATGGCTCATACACTGTTGTGAGGATTTAAAAGAACTTTAAAGAGCTTTCCTATGAAGTTCCCAGCCATGGCTATAGCATTGCTTTACAGCATCCAGCTCCTGCTGGTGCGTGGCCTGTGCTGCCTCTCACAGCACCAGGACAGCACTGAAGCCACACCTTAGAGCCAATCTAGATCTTGCTCACTTCGCAATTTAAAGACAAAAACAGCTTTAAAAGGCTTTTTTACCATGTCCAACTCCAGCCTTCTGCGTTCTAGATAAGGAAAAGCAATATCACCTTTAAAGCGGTTGCATTTTAAGCCCCTGATGACTTTCAACGCGCCGTTTCATCATTAAAGGGACAATTCTTTAAATTACAGGGGATATCTGCTTTGTGCAGAAAGGTGAAAAAGTTCAGCTCCCCAGGTGATGCTACCAAGCGTAGCCAGACTTGTAACCATCAGTTCTTCAAACGGCTCAGTCTCTTCTGAAGGTCGATAAGCTCCGATTTAAACAGCAACCAGAAAAAGCGCAGCGTAAAAAATCTTCGGCAAACTCTGCCGGCAGCACCGTCCTTTTGCTCACTGCAGCCGAGGTGAAAATCCCCAGAAAGTGGTTGTCTCTGGAGGGAGCGGGGCAGCACGAGGAATGCCGGGCTGATGCCAAGCCCAAGGAAGGCGCCGGCGGGCAGCCCTCTGGCTGAGCCGCACACCCTGACTTTAGGACTGGCCAACCTCTGCCGCTGTGGCTGGCTGACACCAGAGCTATTCAGGTGCTTTTCGGAATTAAAAAAAAAATAAATTAAAAAGTGGTGTTGTTCTTTTTTTTTTAACATTTCTCATCTATTTTCTAAAATGATAATTCCTTCCTCATGCGAGTTGCTAATGCAGAAGTTAATACTTGCAAACTAGCTGCGAAATGCTTATAATTTCGCCTCCCAGTACAACATAATTTGTAGGAGTTAAACAGCCAGGCAGCTCAGCTATGCAGCATCTAAATGTCATGGATTCCTGACGGCCCCCCCCCTAAGCTTGTTCTCCACCCCCAGGACACTACAGCAGGACTGCCTTCAGAGAAAACCACCTCCAAGCAGGCTTGGTCCTGGCCTCCATCAGAGTTCTCTCTGGTTTTGCTGTAATATTCAAAGAGCCGGGTTTTTTGTATAAAGTGTTTTTGTTGTTTTTAATTTAATTAAAAAGCCACATTCTGCCCCCCCCCCCCC